GATGTATTGTATGGTGACTAACATAACATAATAAATTTTAAAAAAAAAGGTAATTTCTAACCATACATTTTTTGAACAGTACAAAATAAAATAAAATTAAAAAAAAAAAAAAAAGGGGGCGCCTGGGTGGCTCAGTCGGTTGAGCGACTGCCTTCGGCTCAGGTCATGATCCCAGGGTCCCGGGATCGAGTCCCACATCGGGCTCTCCCACTCCCCCTACTTGTGTTCCCTCTCTCGCTGTGTCTCTCTCTGTCAAATAAATAAATAAAATCTTTAAAAAAAAAAAGATCAGCGACAGTGTCCCCAGGAGGTCCTCTGAATGCCGTGGGGCTCTGCATGCAGCAGGCAGCAGATGCCCAGGGCAGGGTCCTACAGCTCCCACCTGGAACGCCCATTTGTGTAGGGGGGCATGCAGGCGCATGACACAGACGCCCCCCTGAGGTGGAGAAAAAGCTTTGTCCGGTCCTGGGGGGCCCCCACCTCTACAGGGAGCTCCCCCACCCCTCAGCCCCTCCCCCAGAGCTCCCCCACCGCTCACCCCCACCCCCTATAGCACCCACACATCCCATACACCCCCTCACCCCCATAAACTCCCCCACACCCACCCCCTCCACACCCCTCTCTCCCAGTTACAGAAGGTGTATGGAAACCGAGGCAGCCCTTGGGGTGGTGTGTGCCCAGGGGAGGATGCTGAGGCAGAAGAATGGCCCTTGTGGAGAGGAGAGGATGCCTTGCACACCCTGACCCGCCCCCTGCAGTCTAGAGCAGGCTCCGCACAGATGCTCAGAATGAGAACCGCTATGCGGAGCCTGGGAACCTGCATTTAAAGTACCCTAGTGAGCGCCTGGCTGGCTCAGTTGGTTGAGCATCTGACTCTTGGTTGAGGCTCAGGTCATGATCTCCAGGTCTTGGGATCGAGCCCCTCGTCCTCGGGCGCCAGCCTGAGCGGGGAGTCTGCTTCTCCCTTTCCTTCTGCCCCTCTCTCTCCTCATGCTCTCTCTCTCTTTCTCAAATAAAGTCTTAAAAATCTCATTCTGGACTGTTTGTCACTCGTGCATGAAAATACAACTGATCTTTTGCATATTGATCCTCATCCTGAAAACCTGCTGAGCTCTTTTAATGGTTCTGGGGGTTTTGTGGTGAATCACTTAGGGTTTTCTACAGACTCACGCCACCTGCAAAAAAGACAGTTTTAAATCTTCCTTTCCAACCTGATGTGTTTGGTTCCATTGTTCTGCCTTCTTGCCCTGACTTGAATTCCTCGGTGGGAAAGAGAACAGAGAGAGGCCCCAACACAACGCAGAATCTCTTGCAGCCCGCCTGTCCACGAGCCCCATGAGGGGTCTGGGATAACGGGAGCGCAGTGGCTGCAAGGAGCAAAGGAGCATAGCCCTTGGAGGGAACCAAAGAAAACTCTTTCAAGGCCAGTTTTCGTGGCCACCCTCCGGGAAATGACCTGCTGTTATGTGTCTGAGCGCGAGGGGGGCAGAGACATGTTCGGTCCGGGAAGGAGCGCACTGGGGCATTCGGTATATGACGGCGGAGAGGAAAAGCTGCACAAGGAGTTAGGAGGCAGAGTGGGGGGCATCTCTGAGAAGCCAGGCTGGAGAGCAAAACTCAGAGGCCCAGCGCCTCACCGCCAGGCCATCTGAGAGCAAGACGAGGAGGCAACAAGCATCTCCTGAGCTGGAGATTGTGCTTCCAGTTAGAAAAGGCTCCCGACCACCTGGCGTGTGGTGTGAACAAATGTTCCAGGGGACGCTCTGGGCGCAGGGAGACCCCGCAGCTTCGGGGTGGGGGTGGGAGGGACCCAGGGAACAGGGAAGGTCAGGAATCACATGGTTTCCACTTACTCACAGCTACGCAGAAGTTAAAATACAAGGCAGAGATGGCTTCAAATTCCTGATGGAAAGTTTCTGCAACTCATAATTCCCACCCCGGTTGAAGCATTGAGCGTGGAATAAAAATGTCATACATACAAAGTCTCACAAAATTTATCTCCCACACTCTCTGTTTCCAGGATGTCATTCGAGCACTTGTTCCACCAGGAGAAGAAATCATGTATCAGAAAGAGGAAGACGCAGGAGGATGCAGCCCAGGAGAGGGCGGGGGCCCCCAGGGTGGCGGGAGGTCAGGCTTGCGGCGGGCTCAGGGGGAAGCAGCCCCGCGGACGGATGGAGGGCTCCAGGAGGGGCGTCCCAGGAACAAGGGAAATGGGCGACTGAACGTGTAGACTGCTCACGGCACAGATGCCCCTCCTGGAAATTCAGGGCTGAATTAGGAATAGGCAAGTAGAAAATTAAGCAAATGAAAAACTGAATTCCAGGGGAAACAGAAGTACGTACAACAAAGGTAATATAACTGTGGGTCTTTTGTGAGTAACGCAGCAATAGTCGTGCAGATAGTGAATACGCACTTAAGGCGAGACAAAGTTCCCAGCATCCTTGGGACCCTCTCTTGCCCCCGAATACCCTCGGCTCTGGACCCAGGATGCTGGCTCTGTGCTCTCACCTCCCCGGCTGGGCTGAGTGGGCCGTGGCTGGGCCCTGCCCCCCCCCGGGGGCCACCCTGCTGTCCCGTGCCGTCACCCGCCCCTCCCCCAGGGCCCCAGCGAGCACCTGCCATCGTCGCCACCCCGCAGGTCTCCCCTGACATGGCCCACACCTTCCCGAATCGGCCCCTCACTAACAGGAGCTGAGTTCTCCCGTGAAGACCTGGCCGGGACAACTTAGGGGTAAGCAGGAGCAGAGAGGTAGAGGGCCAGGGATCTGGGGGAGGCAAAGGACGATCAAAAATGGAGGTATCAAGAAGTAGAAATTTGGGGGCGCCTGGGTGGGTTAAGCATCTGCCTTCGGCTCAGGTCATGATCCCGGGGTCCTGGGATCGAGCCCCGCATCGGGCTCCTGCTCAGCCGGGAAGCTTGCTTCTCCCTCTCCCACTCCCCCTGCTTCTCCCTCTCCCACTCCCCCTGTTTGTGTTCCCTCTCTCGCTGTGTCTCTCTGTCAAATAAATAAATGAAATTAAAAAAAAAAAAGTAGAAATGTAAGCATGCTTTTGAGAATGTGGCACAAAATCCAGAAGAATCAGCCAGAAGAGCTGCCAGGACCTGCCCCTGGGGCGTCCACTGCAGGGCTGGGGGCAGCACAGGGACCTGCTGGTTTTGTTACAGGCGCTCAGCTGGGCAGACGGGGCCACAGGCCAGCAGACGGTGAATCCAATCGAGATGAACAAAGGGGCCACATGGAGCTGGGCAGTGAGCACTGACCGTCCTGTCCCACCGTCCTCCAGCTGGCCACACTGGCTTCTCTCCCTTTCCCGGGCAGAAGAGGAGGGGAGGGGCCATCTTGTCGTGGAAGGAACCCCTCGCTTCTCACAAGTGCGCCTTGGCGGCTCAGGGCGGCCTCAACACATGGCTTAGGGTTGAGGGGGCACGGAACGGGGGATAGTCCGGGAAAGGAGAGGGGCTGTCCCGGTTGGGAGTGTTTGGCCCTGTGTGCACATCGCGGCAGAGCTGTGCTGGGCTCCCAAGTCTTGCACTCGCCCCTGGGGCTCGGGTCCGGAGAACGGCTGCACCCCTTGTGGGAAGTACAACATGGCAGCATGACCCGGGGCAGTCTTTGGAAACCAGAGCCCAGAGAAGGAGGGAGAGGTGCCCCGGGTGCATGGCCGAGCTGGTTGGAAAGCTTGCTGCATCCCATTCAGGGGATCCCAGGGGTCCTGAGTGGGACCAGCAGCAAAGCCAGCTAGGTCCTGACACAGCCCATGACAGGGGACACAGGGCTCCAAAGTAGAGCACCATTTCCCCCAAATTACTGAGGAGGTCCAGGCTCCAAGGGATGAGGAGAATCAGGCACAGTCCCTCACAAACCCTGAATATCTCTTCAGCTCCTTCGCTCTGGGTCTCTGAGGACGTCGACTCCATGGATGCCAGCCACGGACAGCGGGTGTCCGGAGCCATCCCGATGCCCCAGATGAGGCTGCCAGCGTCTAGCCCTTCCTGACCGGATGGTGGCAACTCCCTATGGTCCAGCCGGAGAGGATGCCTTCCCTTGTGGCACCGACATCAGGACGGCCTCGGGGGCCCATGACCTTCACCCGTGGGCCTTCTGGTCTCACCTCCTGGACCCAGTGAGCTCCCACGCCCCGCGTCCCCCCGCCCCCAGCGACCCCGCCAGCACCCCTCCCCCACGCCCCGCGAGCACATACCAGCCTGCGGATCTCCCGCTCGCACTCCTTCTTGATGCGGGAGATCTCCTCCTGGTGGAGGTGATACACGCTCCTGATTTCCGCGGCCTTGATTTTGTCGGCCTGGACCGCGATGGTCAGCGCCTCCTCCACCTGCCTCTTGGCCCCCTTGAGCTCCGAGATCTCCTGCTGCATTTTTATCTTCTCCGCCTCGAAGCCCTTCTTGGCCTCCTCCTTCGCCTCGGACAGCAGCACGACCTTGGCCTTGTCGGGGGCGCCGTCCCGCAGGCTGTGCAGCAGGGCCTGCAGCCGCTGGTTCTCGTTGTCCTTGATCTTGATGACCCTCAGCAGCTCGGCCTCGTGATGCCGCAGCAGGGCCTCACGCACGGCCTGCAGCTCCTTCATCTTCTCCTCGTGCAGCTTCGTCTTGAGCTCGGTGAGCAGCACGGCGTTCTTGTGCTGCTCGTGCTCCCGCACCTGCCTCAGCTCCTGGTTCTTCTCCCTCTCCACCCGGCTGACCTGGAAGACAAGAGCACGCCAGCCCGTTGGTCCTGAACCCGCCTCTGCGCACGCCTAGGGACCAACGGGGGCAGCTTTGCGATCCTTCCGGCAAAGCTGGGAGCTATCTTCCCTTCGAGAATGTCTCCTTGCGGAAACCGAATCAAGCCTTGCGGGTGGAGAGCGTGAACACACACGCCTGGGCGTCCGTGGGGCGCTGGAACCTGGAAGGGAAGGTCACAGACACGCAGGTCCACAGAAATCTGCTCTGCCGCCTCACCCCTGGCCAGGCCCAACCGTGCCGCGAACACCCGATGGCTGCCTCGCCAACGAACCACCGGGAAGAAGGTGCGGGATGCCCTTGGGCATGGGCCTCCAGCCCAGATGACGGGGTGTCCCACTCACCTTCTCTGACGTTCTTGGCCAATGGGGAGACCACTCTAAGCCACAGCACTCTCTGTCTACATGACGTGTAATGTCTAGATTTGGGGAAACACTCAGATTTTTGACTGAATCTCATTTTCATCTCGAACATAACCTTGGCTCAATGACCACACCACCCGCACGTGGCAGGCAGTGGTGCTCAGAACCTAACGTCGGGGGGAGGAGTGGCTGACCTGCCCAGGGTCCAGGGCTGCAGGTGGCCCTTCGCCTCCCTCCCCACCTCTGGGCTCCACGGCACCTCGTGTGGGGCTGGCATCCTCGATCCCCTCCTTCTCTCACGCACCCCCGCAAACCGAGCTCCAGAGCCGGCTCCCCCCTGCTGCCCACTGCGGGCAGCGTCCAACTCACCTCCCACCACCCACTCTCCACAGGAGGAAGAGCTGCAGGGGTGAAGCCCCAGCCCAGGCCTCTCCTCTGCTTCCAGTGCATTCAGAGAAAGGGCAGAGCCGGGGAGCCCTGGCGGGCAGACAACCCCCGCTATGCCCTCCCTGCCAGGGCCCCTGGCACCCCAGCTAGCCACTTTGGGTTCTATTCTCCAGGGTGATAAGCTCTGACCCTCGGCCCAGGGCAGGCCCACCGCCCACCCCCCAGACCGTGGCCGGCAGCCCCCAGACGCCCAGCCCTGCCTCCACACACTGACCCCACCACTTGGTGCCCCTTTCTCAGAACAACCCACCAGCCCCCCAAGATGGATGGATGCCTTATTCATCCCTCTCTCCGGGGCTGTGGTGTCCCTCCCCCGTCAGAGCAAGTATCCCGGGACACACACAGAGAGGGAGGCCACGTCTGCCGCATCCACAGTTACTTCCCCATCGGGATGTGCATGTGACCTGACTCACTCAGCTGGTGCTCCCAGCTGGTGGTCCGGTGTCCAGTGGGTCCACCCCAAGCTGCCCTCAGGACAGCTTGGATCCCACAGTGCTGGCACAAATTCCAGTCGCCGAGCTCTGTCTTTGGGCCTTCCAGGCCCCTGACGACCGCCCAGGCATCTGCCCGGCAGTCAGGGTTCCCGCCAAAGAAGGGGGCTGTTGCTGAAGCCTAGCGCACAGGCATTTAGTCCTTTCCCATCGAAGATGAGCTGCCCTTTCTCCAGTTCCAGCTGAAGACGTGGGAAAGCAAGATGTCGATGGTGGTTCTCAGTCATGTCGGGGGCGATCTGTGCTCTCGGGGGGCCACTGCTGAGCCATTGCAGCCCCCACTGTGGGGTCGGGGGTCCCGCAGCTGGACGCGGGAGGGCCAGACAGCCTCTTGCATGGGAATCAGAGGAGGGAAGAGCCACGTTGCCGCAGGTGGTCATAGAGCAGGTGTTTGTTGGAGCAGGAGGCTGGCGGGGACTCTCAGAACCGGGCAGGGTTTGGTTCTGATGGTGGTCCAAGCCGCTCAGAGACAACAGTGCCCACACCTCACACACACCTGCCCTTCTGAACAGTGCCCGTGACTGTCCCTGCCACACACGGGAAGGGCTGGTGAAAACTCAGACCCACACCAAGCGCCCTGCCCTGCATGGTCCAGTATGCCGCAGGCAGGTAGGAGCAACGGGCTCAGACGGAGCAAACGGTGGCCGGTGGCCCCTTCAGAGCCCGGGTCCTCCGCCACGGCCCCTGCAGTTACTGAAGAAAGATGCACAAAGCACACGGCGCTCCCAGGAGACGCTCGCTCACCGCAGTTCTGAGCAAGATGCACTGAACGGGAAGACCAGCCTCTCTGCTTCCTTGGGCTCCGAGGTGCCCCATAAACGCACCGCGCTCCCACCTCTGCGGTCCGCCCCCCTGTGTCTCCCGCAGTGGGCTTTCCTTTCCCCTGAAGCTCCGCCCACACAGGCCCGTGAATTCCTCCCATCTGGTGTGGGCTGAACGGCCAGGCTCCAGGCTTCTGATCAACTTCCCCTGCGTAGCTTCCGTGCCTCCGTCTCCTCACACGGAGACTCTGGTTCTCGAGGAAACCGGGGGTGACGGGAGAGAACACCCCATAATTACTCCCTTATCCATGCGAGACTCGCAATCGCTCGGAACACGACGAGGCTGACCAGGCCTCGCCATCCTCAGGTTTTGTTCAGAAAGAAGCTATGTTCAGTGCTGCCCACAGTCCTCGCAAAAACCGTGGAGCTGGTGACAGGGGTGGACCCTGGCACGACCCCCAAGCCCCACACCAGAGGAGGGGGCGCCGGCATGTAAGGACCCCCCCACCCAGCCGGCCATCCAAGTGGCTCGGACCTGCTCCGGGCACACAGGGCCCACGGCGATGGGCGCTACCGTCCCCCTCCTTGGTCAAGACCAGCTTCTACCCTCAGGCCAGACCACAGCCCCACAAGGATGGCCCACGCTGGGCCCCGACCCACACAGGCACTCACAGGACAGGGTGGCCACCATCTGCAGTCCTGACCGGACGTCCCTAAGAGGGACCGATGTGCTGGAACAGCAGAGACAGGCTCCGGGCCAGGGCACCAGGAGACGGTCCCCGCCAACCAGCTCCCGAGCGGAATGGAGATATGCCTGGGGTCTTACGAGCTGTTGCATGAGGAGCGTAGGCCACTGACTCACGGGGTGCGTTAGCCGCTGAGATCGTGTTACTGACTCAGACTGCCGAGAAAAGGCACGTCTGTAAGAAGCCCACGCAGCGCAGCCTCGGGCCCTGCAGCTGGGGTCCTGCGTTCAGACTGCCGCACTGGGCAGGCCCGACACGCTGACCACGCGGCCACGAGTCCTGCGTCTCATCTCACCAGGGGCCTCGGCACCCCGGTCCACACCCGTGTATGGTTGGAAGCAGCCATGATCCTTTATGGGGCCACGAAACGTTACAGCTCTCAAATAACTGGTTAACAAATTTGCTCAGAGGTTTATGGAATTTTAAACTACGTGAGCAAACAGCGCTGCTGGGACCCGGCTTCCCTGCATCAGGTGAGCCCTGTCCCAACGGAGCCACCCACAGACCCACCTTTGCCGGTTCCTTCAGGTCATTCTGGTCTCCTTCCAGGGCCACCTCCTCTGAGAGGCCCTCCTTGATTGTACCACCGCCAGCATGACTGCTTGCCTGGCTTTACCTGGCCCAGACACCTGGTCCCGTTCCTGGGTGTCTCCCTCCCCTGGGACACGGCCTGGGGGCACAAGGGCGCCCAGTGTTTCCCCAGTGGCTGTCTGTGGCCTGAGGAAGCGGGGAAGCCCCTTCCCGGTTAAAGCAGAAGCCGCTTCCTGATAGCAGGTGTAAGGCTTGCTGTCCATTCCTCCCACCCAGTCCCAGGGGTGCTCATGAGCTGGGGGCACAGATGCGGGCGGGACCCCGTGAGTGCAGGCCGTGGGGGCTGCTCTGTGCCCGGACTGGAGGCGAAGCCTTGGCGTCGTGGTGGAAACACAGGGCCTTAGGCACCAAGCTTGTTTCTACCTAGTTGTCCGTGGTCACCTCCCAGTACCCCGCTCTGCGTAACAAACGCTGAGTTCTTTTCCACTCAGCTCCTGCGAGGCCTTCCATGTCAGCTCCTCTCCCTGCAGAGCTGGCTCCCTCTTTCCAGAAGGTTCTTCACCAGAGATGGCCCCACTTCAATCTCCTGACAGAGGGCGGGCAGCAGGAGAGTCCTGTTTTTATTTAAAGCATTTCATTCTTTACTGTCAAGTCTCCATTCACTCAAGTATCCCTTGTGATAAATTAACCATTGGCCTGAAATCCAAAGCGCTAAGCTCGCAGCGGCTACGTTCACTGGCGTCTTTCCATGCTTCGCAGGGACCTTCTCTACCCTGGCAATTGCAATCTGCAAAACGAGATGTTGCTGCTGCAGAATTTTGCAGGGAATTCCTGATGACGGGTGGGCGCCGTGTGGGGTGTGAGCGCGCTCCTTGGCCTCCACAGACTCCCACCACCCAGCCAGGTTTGTGGGTGGGGACAGGTCCTGCCGGCTCTCCCCAGACTTCTGCCCTGAGGTCCAGAACCAGGCCCTCCTCCTCAGGGGCTTCCAGAACAACATCTGCAATATGCCGAAAACCAGACAGAAATCTCCGATCCCACGGTCTGGGTATGGTCCGCGGATTTGTCCAGCGGTTGCAAGACATTAACTGTGATACATGTAAAGATTTCGGGATTGGTAAGGACAAAGCTGTTGACAGTCGTGATGACGGGATTCGTGTTTCCCATCCCCCGCGTCCGCATGACCATAGGTGGCCAGCACTGGTGGCATTTTGTGGTGAGGGTATTGCACTGGGTGAGCAGACAGACGGCTGCCGCGGCCTCGGCGGGAGACACCTGCGCAGGATCCCAGGTGAATTTTGTTGACCGACCTGGCTGCTGGGGAGACAGGAGAGTGCAGGCGGGAACTGGAAAGGGGCCTGAGGGGCGTTTCAACCCCCGAACACCCTGCTCCCAGCTCGCCGCCCCGGCGGATGTGGGGACGGAAGCTGTGAACCCTGGGGGCGCCTGGGTGGTGCAGACTCTTGGTTTCAGCTCAGGTCATGATCTCAGGGTCGTGAGATCGGGCCCCACGTAGGGCTCCGCGCTCAGCGGGGAGTCTGCTTGTCTCTCCCTCTCCCATTGCTCCTCCCTCTGCACACACACTCTCTCTCTCTAAAATAATTAAATAAATCTTAAAAAAAAAAAAGGAAAGGAAAGGAAAGAAAGAAACCATGAGCCCCACCGGCATGCTAGGGACTGCTGAGCAGCTCCTGGAGCTGAGCCCACGTGGGAGCCCGCTCCGCCTCCCGCCCGTCTCAGGAGGCCAGCGCCACGTCCTCAATCCTGCGAGGACGCTGGGCCCAGGGAGGTCCAGGCCTCTCAGTGGCTGTGGGGGAAGCCGGGCTTGGACCAGCCCCACACGAGAGGAGACAGAAAGGACAGTGTGTCTGTGAGGGTCTAGAACTTTTCTGTTTGAATCTCGAAAGACAATGGCATGTGTTAGGTCTGGGTGGTGGGTACCCGCCTGTCTGAAATATTACCATCTCAGACACACACACGAACACGCTTTAAAAAAAACCAAACTAGAATGTTTTAATGATGCTTGGCGGGAAGGTGGCAGGTCTGGCTTGGAAGTGGCAGTGGGAGCCAGAGGTGGTGGGGAGGGGGGAGCTCGGGCTCAGAGAATGTCCCTGGCTCTCAGTGGCCACGGCGACCTCAGCAGCTCCTTCCCACCTTCTGGACTAGCAACAGGGGCTGGAAGGTGAGGAGACAATGGAGAACATTACCCTCTATGCCTCCTGGAAGTTTCTTGAATGTAGGAAATCCCACAGTCCGAGACTGGCACCTCCCTCGGGCCCATGGGGCTCTGCTCCCTGCACCCCCTCCCTGCAGCACTGCCAAGAGCCGCAGGGGAGACGGGCAGCACCAGGCGGCTGAGGCTGCGGGGAAGGCAGCTCCGAGCTGTGATGCTCAAAGCTGCTGGCTTAGAGCAGACGTCCTGGGACCCCAGGAAGGGCTCCCGCAGGGCAAGGTGAGTCCCAGGGGCAAGGAGTCCCGCAGGGCAGGGTGAGCCCCACAGGGCAGGGTGAGTCCCGCAGGGCAGGGTGAGCCCCGCAGGGCAGGGTGAGTCCCACAGGGCAAGGTGAACCCCGCAGGTCAGGGTGAGCCCCGCAGGGCAAGGTGACTCCCACAGGGCAGGGTGAGTCCCGCAGGGCAGGGTGAGCCCCACAGGGCAGGGTGACTCCCACAGGGCAAGGTGAACCCCGCAGGGCAGGGTGAGCCCCGCAGGGCAAGGTGACTCCCACAGGGCAGGGTGAGTCCCGCAGGGCAGGGTGAGTCCCACAGGGCAGGGTGACTCCCACAGGGCAAGGTGAACCCCGCAGGTCAGGGAGAGCCCCGCAGGGCAAGGTGACTCCCACAGGGCAGGGTGAGTCCCACAGGGCAGGGTGAGTCCCGCAGGGAAGGGTGAGTCCCACAGGGCAGGGTGACTCCCGCAGGGCAGGGTGACTCCCGCAGGTCAGGGTGAGCCCCGCAGGGCAAGGTGAGCCCCGCAGGGCAAGGTGACTCCCGCAGGGCAGGGTGAGTCCCACAGGGCAGGGTGAGCCCCGCAGGGCAAGGTGACTCCCGCAGGGCAG